AACACTTGAAAGATTAGGCATTTTCTGTGTGAAATGCTGACCAAGGTCTCAAACCACCCCCAAAAGAACCCTGGTTCCCACTGATCTGGTACCCACCAAACCCTTATCCCTGGCCTCTTAAACCCCTATCTCAGTGTCTCCCCTCCCTTCCCACTGTAAGATTCCCTCACTATCAGAGCCCAGGAAGAGGCTTCTGGGCTGTCTCAACTGTGGCCCAGCCCACCACACCAGCAAGGTGTGTTCTCCAGCCCAGTGGGAGTTTTGGCTCCTTCCTTCCTCCTGCTCTCAACACTGCTCAGGGCTGTCACTTCCGCCTTCTCCTAATCAGAACACGCCATCTGTGCCTCATCAAACCAAGTCAGGGAGCCTTTGCATCCTTGGGGCTATCTGCGGGCCCTGCACAGTCAAGAACAGAGTTTAGGAGCCAGCGTGGTCCTTAGCTCTGGAACTGAGGGCTCAGGTGTGGCAGGCCAAGGAACTACACCAGGAGAGTAGTTACAGGATATCCGTCCCTCCAAACCTGATATTTAAACTACAAAATGTAAAATGCCACAAACGGGAAGGGTAGTTTCTACATGGCACAAAGGGGCTGCTGGGACAATGTTTATTAGGGTTTCCTAGAGGTATTTTCCAAGCTAAAAATCACTCTGAAAACCTACCATATGACAGGCACACGTGTCTCTCCTCTAATGTTCGCAATGAGTGGGAAGAAATTCTATGCTTACTTCGCAAAGAAAGGCCTAACAGGGGCTCAATTCCCCAGTCTGGGTTGTTCTCTTGTTCTGCTCCTTGATCAACTTATCATCTAAAATGTATCTGCCAGATTCCAAAGTAGTAAGACTTCCGTAAGGTCAGAGGAAAACCAGGATTTGAACCCACAGGAGCCCACGCCCCCCCCCCCGCAACATTCCAGCTGCCTCCCTCCATGTGCTGCTCCGAATCCAGTTGTGGCAGGAGACAAAAAATCCAGAGGCAGACCTGGTGAAGTCTACTTCTCAGGGCCCACCAAGAGCCCTTACCACGGGTGACCCCCTAAGCTCTTCATGCCGCCGGAGCTAGAGGGCCAAGACGGGACAGTGGCAGGCACCCCAGCCAGCCTTCCTCAGCAAACTGTGACTGCGGACCCTTCCCTTTTCAGTTACGCTGTATGCTATCTCTTTGGGTATATTCTCCGCCATTCTTCCCACCTAACAAGAAGGACTCCTCCATCCATGACAGAAAGGGCAAAAGGCTAAACAGCATGCGTGCTTAAGACACAGATGAGAACACTTTCAATTAATATATTTTCCCCATCTGCTTTAAATGATTACAGTAAAAAACCGCACAGCAGCACAATTAGCTGAAATTCAGAAACTAGACTTTTTGGGTTCGAATGCTGGCTCGGACCTAAGTAGCTGTTTAGCCTACTCGTGCCTCAGTTTCCTCATCTGGGAACTAAGATGGAGAAGACAGAGGCACTTGTCTCACAGAGTTGCAGTGAGGATTAAACCGCTCCATGCAAAGAACTGTGAGTCGCAGCGCACCGCAGTCTCTGGTGTATTTGCTGTCACACTGTTCCTGCTGGTGTCACTGAATAATCCCCCCCATAAATGTTTGTTCACCAACCTTCCTAAATTCAAGGCAAAATATAACAATGAGTAGTAATTTCTGCAACTGCTGAGAGGGGTACAGAATGATATAACCTTTATGGGACTCATCATCTCAAACAACAACTACAGATGCACATTTACCTTCCGACTGGTCATACTGCTAGGAACTTACCCAGAAGATGCATCTCCTCAAGTAAAAACAACATATGCACAAGGTTCTTAATCGCATCATTATGTAAAAACATGACTAAATGTCCAGCTATAGACTTGCTGAATGCATTATGGAACACCCACGTAACTGAGCACTGTGAAACCTATGAAACCATAAAAAATAGACAATTGATATAAATCAACTTTAAAATAATGTCAAATTTTTTTAAAAGCACATATTGCACACCCACTGAAAGGGACCAGATACAACAGCACCCAGTAACATCAAGCAAGCCTGCAGTCCAGATCTTCGTTTCTAAACCCCAGTCCCCGCTAAAAGGAACCAGGACTCCTTGGGAAAATGGCTGATTCCATGTCAGAGGCACAGGACATCCAAGGTTAGTCTGGGACACCTTTATATGCCAGAAAGCAAGGAATTATTCAGAGACCAAGGTGGAGTGTCAAATGGACACAGCTGATAAGATCTAGTATCTAGAATATAAAAAGAAGTCTTAGAACTCAGAAGTAAAAAGACAATTTTTAAAAACATTTTATTATTTTTAAAGGGGAAGGGAAGGAGGAAGAGTGGGAAAAATCTATGTGTGGTTGCTCTAGCACACCCCCTACTGGTGACATGGCTCTCAATCCAGGCACCTGCCCTGACTGGGAATCAAACGAGCAACTCTTTGGTTCACAGGCTGATGCTCAATCCACTCAGCCACGCCAGACAGGGCTAAAGAGACAATTTTTAAATGAGCAAAGGATTTGAATAGATAATTCTCCTAAGAAGGTATACAAGTGGTCCATAAGCACAAGAAAAATGCTCAATGTCATTAGTCATTGAGACAGCACTTCACATCTATTAGGATGGCTATAATTAAACAAAAAAACTCCCAGAAAACTTGTTGATCAAGATGTGAAGAAACTGGAAGCCCTTGCACATTGGTGGTGGGAATGTAAAGTGGTTTAGCTGCTAAGAAAAGTTTGGTGATTCTTAAGTTAAAATAGAACTGCCATATGATACACCAATTCCACTCCCAGGTGTATGCTGCAAAGAACCTGTTCACACAAAAACTTACATATGAATGTTCACAGCAACATTATTCCTAACCAACAACTGGAAACCCAAATGTGTATAAACAGATAATGCAGTGGGACAGTATTAAGCCATAAACAGAACCTACCGTAAGTACCGACACATGCTATATGGATAAACCTGGAGAACATGCTAAATGAAAGCAGACACACACAAAAAGGCCAGATATTATATCATTCCATTTGTGTTCTAAATTATCCAGAGTAGGCAAATCCATACCTAAATTTGTGGGTGCCAGAGAAATAGGGGGACAGGAGAATTGGGACTAATAGGTATAGATTCTTTTGGGGATATCCTGGAATTTGATAGTGGTAATGGGTGTAAAACAGTGAATATACTAATCCCTGAAATTGAACATTTTTAAAATGGATTTTATGTTGTAAATTATAGCTTAATTAAAAAAAAAAAAAATGCCCTGGCTGGCGTGGCTCAGTTGGTTGTAGCATCGTCCTATAGCCCAAGGGCTGTGGTTCGATTCCTGGTGCAGGCACATACCTAGATTGCAGGTCCAATTCCTGGTGCAGGCACATGCAGGAGGCAACCAATCGATGTTTCTCTCCCTCTGTCTTTAAAAGCAATGGGAAAAAAAACGTCCTCGAGTGAGGATTTAAAAAAAAAAAAGACAACTAGTTGAAGGGGTCACCACTCATCAAACCTGGGGCAAGTTGAACATCAGGTTTATTAGATTTAAAAAAAATAAAACCAAATTCATGTTGAAAACCACCACCCAAAAAGTACAGATGACAGAAAACTCTTTTTTATAGATGAATGCCAGCTAATAAAAATTCAGGAGAAATGATAAGAAAATTACCATTTGAAAACTAGTAACTGATTTTAGGCAAGGATCATCAGTGAATGCTATAATCAATGTGCAAATGGTGGCTTAAGATCAAGATATTCAATGGTTTTCATCCCACAGGTCTTTTGATAGATTTGGGGTTGCATTCACCTTAACCAAGGACACAAACCCAGCATCACCAATACAAGGATGAGCTGGTATGACACATCATACAACTGGAACATACACAACTTCACTTACATAGCACCCTTGCAAAGTACAACCTGCCCTGACCAGTGTGGCTCTGTGCGTGGTTTGGGAATCTGTCAAGCGAAAGGTCACTGGTTTGACTCCGCGTGAGGGCACATGTCTGGGTTGTGGGCCAGGGCCCCAGCTGGAGGCATGTGAGAGGCAATCAGTGGATGTTTCCCTTGCACATCAACATTTTCTTCTCCTCCCATCCCTTCTCTAAAATTAAATACACAGAATCTTTAAAAAATAAAAAGTTTAACCTGAATCAAATCATGAGGAACAATAAGACTAATTCAGAATGTGGAATTTTTCTATAGAACAACTGGGCTGAATTCATCTATTTAGGGGTGAAAAGCCCTGATTTTAAAACTTATTTTAAAATGACTCAGTGGGGGAAGTGGAGTGAGTGTGTGTGTGTATGTGTTAATACACGTAGAACGATACAGGAGGGAAGGAGACAAGGGCAACAGAGAAAGCAAATGTGGCAAAAAGTTATGAGCTGGTGAATTTATGTAAAAGAACATGGGTATTCAATATACTCCTCTTTCACCTTTTTTGTAAGTTTATGACTTTTCAAAATAAAAATTTGGGGAGAAAATTTGTGTAATACATCAGCTTAAAAAACAAAAAAATTAGGAGTGGGTGGGATGGGGGAAAAGTGGTGGTGGGAGGATGAAGACAACTGTATTCAGACACTAATTTTTTAAAAAGTACAAAAAATTTAACAGGCTTAAAGTGTAATAATCAGAAATACAATGCACCTCTAATCACAGAATCTGCTTTTTGTGAACCCACTTTACTGGTCTCATTATGGTAGAGCTGCTCTGCATGAATCCTCAAGGCTTCTAAACTAATTAAGTGAAAATCACTTAGCCTAATTCAGACAATCACAAATTTATCCATAAGGCAAGAAAACAGGCCAGACAACTCACAAACCGCACTGCACTTTACCCAGTGTGGAACTCTGTATACCTCAAAATACGGCTTTCAGATGTTTTTTCTTTAACAGAATTGCTGGTAATTTCAAGTGAGAAAAGTATACATTTTAGCTACAGGATAGATACCCCACATGATTAGCAGATAATTCAATGTATCCCCAGGGGGAGGATTTATCATAAAGAAAGTCACCAAAAACTGTAAGCAGTCTAGATGTGTGTTTATTGAAGCCAGTAATTAGAGACATCTTCCTTTTCAGCACTAGAAAGCAAGGTTCCACACGACTGCATCCTGCATCTGGATGGAGCCACACCCCTTGACTAAGGCTGGTCGGGGAATAATCTGCAGTCCTAATTTCAAGTTAAAAACACCCATAAACTCAGTATGGAGACAACAGTGAACTTTCACTTACAGCTTCAACATCGTTAAGGTCATGATATACAGAGCAGTCACTTTCACCTTTGATAAACTAATGAAATGTGACATCTTCAATTTAAATACTGATTTAAAAATGCCAATCAAAAAAAGTGCAAACAAAATTTAAAAATTCTAGCAGCATACCCGTTGAATTTTTAGAAAAGTCCAATTCATGGCCTTAATACAGCCACATTTTCAAAATTGGGCTTATATCTTAATTTTTCCATTTCATAGACAAACAGCAGATGTAACCAGTATAATGTCAACAGTCATAATATAATTATCTTTAACAGTCTACCACACAAGTGTATTCTGCAAATAAAATGAATTTTACTTTAAAAAGTAAAGGCTGTTTATTGTTTGGCCTTTGGTTCCAATGCCTGAAAACTCCAAAGTAACAATAACAAAAACCTCCCCTCCGCCCACATCCCACAAAGAACCCTGTAGCTCCCCAAAGTTGGTAGACTTTGGCAACCACTGAGCACCTGACACTATGCATCAGTTTCTTCTGATACTAGGAGCATCCACTTGTAATGAGAAACTAGAAGTGATCTCCAAGAAACCTTCCTTCACAAGACAAGTGTCTTAGCATTTCATCGGTTTTAGTACTTTTACATTGACACAAAAGTGCTTATCAGATTACATGATAAAAAAATGAACAAAAACTAAAATTATGCATTTAAATTTTAAATCACACTACATCCCTCTTAGGCACGTGCCTTTCCAAGAATTCTTTCCTGTTTCTGAAGTCACTCATTCTGTACCCCCGCCCCAGCTGCTACAGAGGAACTGAGTGACCTCACCACTAGTGTGGTCGCAGGTTGTTTGGCATCTGTTGGTCACTACACCACAACCATCACTCCACAATCAGTTTACTGTCGTTACCTGGACAATACGGTAATTGGAAGCCACAATACATTTTTTAAAAAATAACTGAGTTTAAAAAGGGGGAAGAAGTATATTTTCAACAAAAAACTGGCACATGAAACATGTTTGTATGTTTGTCAGAAAGGCAAGTAAATACTCAGCTTTCTCCTTAACAGTGTTCAGACCTTTACAAAAAAGCAATTCACGACAGTTTTCAAGCCTTGTTACACAACACAGGATATCTGGTTATGCACATTACTATGTTAGTGGTCAGTCAAGTCTTGCACGTAAAAGTAATGACGTCAGGGAAGTTATGCTCAGACATGGTACAATAAACATTCATATAAAAAAGTAAACTCCGCATATGTGAACTGTGGTTTTTCCCTTGGTTTGACAACAAATGTTTCTTACATTAAATTAATGGTAGTGTTTGCATTTGAATGTTCTTTATCATGTATAAAATTAAAAGTGCCATTTCAAATCCACAGAAATCATTTCCAGAATGGTGGTTGTTACATGGCAATGTGCATGAATTTGCCTTAAATGGAGACACCTGAAACTCTTATTTCCATAAGAAAAAATGCTACATTTTATGAAAAACACAAGAGCAATGTATCATTTCCATTTTCAATATAAAACATTCACCTATTTGTCCGCCCACCAGCACTGATCAGACCAGGGAGCTGGGACAGGACCCCTCTGCACCAGTGGAACGCCAGGATGGCTTCCCCAGGCCGTCAGGCAGGGACTGGTGCAAGCCAATTAGTCAGTGTGCAATTACACTAAAAACCTTCCTCAAACTCTCAAATTTTCTACAGCGCATTGCATTATAATAAAATGAGAGTTCGGTCACCCATTCTCTACTTGTAGGCCAGCCTGTGGTAGTAAAAAAAAGTTTTTTTAAATTAAAAAAAACAAAGCAGGAGTTATTTAGAAAACACAATTCAAAGTACACTAATTTTGTAACTGCTGACTTGAAACACACCCCGCAGTGACTACCTGCCCCACAGTGCACATGTGTGGAGCCCTGCAGCTCCCACGAGGGTGTGGCCTAAGCCAAGCACGTGAGTCCTGAGCAGCTGCCATCTTCCTCACCCCTGTGTCAGCTCCGCCTGACTCAGGCACCCCCACATCTGTCAGAAGTTAAAGATGCGTTCAGAACAAGTCTGATTCCCATTCTGCTTAGTGTTTAGTTTGGAAATGCATCTGATAGGAAGTCTTAAAAATGATTATTCAACTTCTACTGAACACACTGTATTTACGAACACTGCTCACTTCCTTCTTCCCTCACCTCCTTCAACATTCAGCTTCCCCACCACCACTTCTCTCATTCCTCCTTTTAGCCTTTTTGTTTCCTGGACCTTCTGCCACTGAATCTGCTTCCCAAGAACAAGTGAATTTGCTAGCACGCAACTGGTCAGACTAACCACCATCTGAGCGATGATTTTCTGGTCTCATTTGCTCCACCCCGAAAGAAAGCGGGCCCTCTTTCTCTCCACCTACCGTCCCTTCCACACGAAGCCCCAGCTGCACTCGCGTCCCACGAGTGCCACATGCCTGAGAGTCCACGGTTATCCTTCACAAAGGGATCTGACCCATCGCCTTCATAAATGTGCAACCCACACTCGGACAAGCCAATGAAGTATTTTTTTTTAAAGTTCATCTCCCCTGCCCCCCAAAACTGATAGCATGTGCCATATCAGAAAAATCCTGGTCTTAGCAGATCAATATACATAGTTATTTGGTCATTTTACATATGCACTTTTAAGGAGGATCAAGCTTCATTTTCTGTTGAAGAGTTTGTTACCATGGCATCTGGTTTTCGAGTCATTCTATCCAGTTCTTCCTGAACATTTGTCAACACAGTCTTTTGTCCTGAAAGAAGGAAAAAAAAAAGCAGCAGTGATGAGAAACCGGAAGAGAATTTTTAAACAGAAACATTTAAAACTATATAGACTTCTGTAATCCTTTGTGGTGATAATAACCTCAATCTCAATAAGAACGAGAAAAGCCTTATTTCATTACAATAATTATGAGACCGACCTAATTCCAGTCTTTCTTTATTCAAAATGGAACAGGTCTGTGCTCCCCCGACCACACCACTGCCCTCTGCCTGGGGGTGCCCTTGTGTCCAATGCAAGGGCCTTTCTAAAAACGCTCTCACCGCCCAAAAGGACCCCTGTGCACTCCCACTGCCATCTTCCTAGGGCTGGTATCTGAGTTCTGACATGCAGCAAACCACTTTCTATGCCTCAAATACAACAGGGGTTTAGGGTTTGATTCTCATTACAACACTCTAAACTGACTCATTCAGATGGCCCAGAAACACTGCATTTCAAAAAGAAAGAAAGACTACACCCAGATTTTTCAGTCTTGCAGAAAATCATACTTTTTTATTGTCAAATACTAACTGAGGCCTGGAAATGACCCCTATTTCCTACCAGGGAATACCAGCTCAGAGTCAGGGCCATCAGACCAGATTCTGAGTCTCTAAGAACCCAGGAGCCCCTGCAGGCCTGAACTGATGTGAGGATGGAGTGATTTCCTGACGGCTTTCTTTGATATGAACAACACCAATTAGGGAAAACACTGTATTAACATTTCTTACAGCCAAGAAAATTAAAAGCCAAGAACTTTCACAATGGCCTCAAGCTTCCAGGGAGAATGTGTAATCCCTAAGAACCCTGATTCCTTGTTTCAGAGACCTCTAAAACACGACTTGCCCCAATGCCCGTCTGGAAGGACAGATGGAGAGAGGTGAGAGAGGTGTGGAGACGGGAGGAGCTTCATGGAGAAGAAAATGAGACAAAGAGTGTTTGGATTCCAGCTCATGGCAAGACTGGGGGCAGGCAGTACAGAAAGATCCTTATAAAGCATCATGAGAAATTAAATAAGTAAAATGTCAACAGTACACTCCAGACCATGACCTCCAATGGACAGAGCTTCTATACCAGTGCACATACATAGTTTAGGACCAATCTCAACTTATGCAACTTTAAGTTTCTGAGAACATGAATGTACACAAAGCCCACCTTAAATGTGCCCAGGAAACCTGCACGGTAATAAGGTAATTCCATTGTAAAGTATACTGATAGTATAAAGCAGGACTGCCTCCTTGCTTGCCTGTTCAGAAAACCAAGAGTCTGTCTGTAGCCTCTCAGGTGAAAGCAGACTCTCCTGTCCACCTCCCCACCTTCCAGCACCCCTCCACTGGAAGGGTCTTAAGTCCCCAAGGCTCCTTCAGTACCTGACTTTTTGGCTGTGCTCTGCACCCCACCGGCACCAGGACTTCCAGGAGAGCCTGTTTTTTTACTCAACAAACTGTTGAAGAAGCTGGCCAACACCCCTTCACTTGCTGCATTATCTAAGGAAACATTAAGAGAAAAAAAACATCACACAAACTGGATAAATCAATTAAACAAAAGCATGGGAGTTATCCACTGGTAGCTGTCGTCTTCCTAGGACACTGAGCACATTCATTTTCTACGAAGCATTATATACTGCCACTGCCGAGGCGAGTCGGAGGTTAGCACAATTACTAAGTGGGTACCTGTTTAGATTTCCCACCTGTTTGGGGGCACAATAGAGAACCTGTGCTCCACATCATCTCCCTGTCTACAAGACAGTGTTTTTCAAAGGTTTAAAATCTCACAACACTCCAAAGCTGCTGTGAAAAGCTCTTACTCAGAATAAGAACATGAACATGTTCTTATTAATAAGAACATGAACGGCCATCGAACATGCAAGAGTAAAGTAAAATTTTGTGTTGAAGGTCTTATTGCAGCCAACGTTTTGGGGTATTACTAAGTCAATGGAAAAAGAGATATTTCAACTAATAAGTAATTGAGCTTTATAAGAGAAATGAAGGGGAAGGTCCCACAATTTATAAATGGTAATAATATAAACATAATGAGAAATAAAACTAAGGACTCAAAACATGCATTTGCAGTGTGACTTCTTATGCTGTGTTCCTCTCCAAAGGAATCTGCACTGGCTAACCAAGGTCTTACACAAAGCCTGGTGCAAGGGCTACAGATTCCAACAAAGAAACAGGCCTCGGCCTCAGGCAACCCTGGGCCCCTTCTGAGAGAGGCATGTGGAAAGCAACCCTTCTTGGGAAAGAAAACAGGCCAGGCACCATGAGTCTCTACCTTCCAAACCCAGCCACCCAGCCCCTGCAGAGCTCAGGCCTAGGACTGAACCACTCTCCACAGAGACAGGATACATACTTTTGATGTTTGGATCCGGCTTCTTCACTGACGTGCCCGGGGAGGTGCTGGGCACACTAGCAGGCCCTCCCCGACCCTGAGTTCTTGGAGAGCCAGAGGGTCCTCTCGCAGGGGATTCCTAAGTCCAAAACCAGCCCAAGTCACACACAGGCATAAAAATAACAGAAAACACACATTCCAAAACTGAAACCATGAGTGTTTTTCCTAGTCTAGGGAGAAGGATGGGAGAACTGGGAGTTTTCTCATAGCTCAGTCCCTTTACTAGACCTGGTTCTCCTGAGAGAAGAGGTATTGAGATAACAAAGCCTCTTCACTCAAATTCCCAGAGCAGTATTCCTTCCTCAGGTATGTTCCAAGTTCCTACTACGTTCCTGGCCCTGGGCCTTTGGGGGACCATGTTCCCTTTGAAAACATAAAAGCCCACACAAGCTTTCACAAATAATGGTATCAAGTATGAAGACACCCACGACACTGGGTCTTGACCCTCTGTTTAAGGTACTCACGGAGGCTCTCGTGGGCGTGGCTGGCTGCTTGGCAAGGAGTGACTGCAAAGAGAGGGACACACTGGCCATTAACCAAAGCCTGCAGAGTGCACTAAAGGTCTGGAGAAGCACTTCCAAGTATTCCACTAGAGGGCACCATTAACAACCACCAAGTCTCAGGTTTTACACTACATACAAAAAATTTAAATGGAACAGTTTTGGTATATGGTGAAAAAATATACTCCAAGTTACCAGTTTTGAAGCTAAGGAAGCAAGCAGAGCACAGAAGGGAGGGACAATTGGCAAAAGAACTGTCAGCACCCTCTGCTGACCTGCCTGCGCCATCAAGCGGACTCATGACATGTCTAACACTCCAAGGGAAACAAGGGTGAGCGAGTTTGTGTCCTTAACTGTCAGCTTGGGGAAGGTACTTTCCTCACCTACAAAAATCAGCTTACCTGTCATACGCACAAGGCTGTGTAGAGCTACGTGAAATAATGAAAGTGAGGTCAGGGTACTTGGTAAACTGCCAACACGGGAAGTGTGACAGAAAACCTACGTTTCCAGACAGAAAGGGTACTTAAAAAGATAACTAAGCCAATCACCGTAGCAGGATCTGCAAGGTAGGAAAGGGATGCCCTGAGGCAGACGGTCTAACCCCTACTCTGTACCAACTGTAAAAATGGAAGAAAACAAGGAGACCTGCTCGCAACTCCTTCAGCAAGCTCTCAGATACCCGCCACCTCGCCCCAGGGAACTGGCCATTTCACTTGAGAAAGAGCCTCTGCTCTGGCCTCACTGGCCCTCCTACCTGTTGCTTCATTAGGAACACCTGCTCGTCCTCCGCTGACAACTCTTTGTCGTGGACCAGCTGTGAAGGAGAGAGACACACTCACTGTGGTCACAGGTCGATAAACCTGAACTACTGTCAGAATTAACAATGAAAGGAGAATCTTGGGCTAGGGTCTCCCCATGGGTCTGGGGAGAGTCACTGCAGGGATGGCAGAGTTATGCTTTCTTGGCCTAGCAAAGGCCCCGTGCCGAGACCAGCCTTGACATGTGGCAAACTGACAGGCTCTAACCACCTCCCGGATCAGAGTCTGCAGGAGCTCACAGGGGCAACGGGATCCACTAACAGTAGTCCAGAGGTGGCGGCGGCACTGTTAGGACTTAATGAGAAACTTCACCTCCACCCCATGGGGACACTCCATCACTCATGTCCCACCACCCAAATCCATTTGCGTAACACCAGACTTCATCTAGGTATTTTTTAAAGTTGATTTTAGAGACAGAGGAGACGGGAGGGAGGGAGAGAAGGGGAGGGAGGGGGAGAGAGACAGAGAGAGCAAGAGCAAGAGAAAGAAAAAACATCGATTTTGCTGTTCCACTCTATAAAGATTTTTTTTTAAAGGCCCTTGGAGCCCTGGCCAGTGTGGCTCAGTTGGTTGGGCATTGCCCTGCAAACCGAAAGGTCGCAGGTTTAATTCTCAGTCAGGGCACATGCCTGGGTTGTAGGTTTAATCCCTGGTCAGGGTGCATACAGGAGGCAACCAGTCAACGTTTCTCTCACATCGATGTTTCTCTCCCTCTCTTCCCCTCTTTCTAGAATCAAGAAGAGGAATTAAAAAATAAAATAAAGGCTCCTGGATTACTCCCCACCCCTAAGATGGTTCAATGTATAGGGCCTGATTCTTTATACTATACAAAATCTGTACTATAAAGTTTATAGGTTTCTTTTCCCATTAAAAAAGAAAACCACCTATGACCCTTAATTAAAGTGACTGATTTGGGTACCTTTCTCACAGGAGGTTTTGTGATAAAGTCTTCATATACATCTTCTGGCTTTACAGTTGTAAAATTTTCATGTAAAATAGCTATCTTCTTTTCATTGTCCCAGCCAGCAGGTCTAAAGGCAGAGAGAAAGTTTTTTTTTCATTGTTTTTCCTGTGACTGCCTTGGAGCACACAGAGCACATTCTGAGTCAGACAGGACTTCTGAGTGAGTTCCTGTCCCATAAGATTTTGTCTGTACTTGCTGGGGCTGGCTTGTAACTTTCAGTACACAAGCCAAAATTTATTGCAGGTATAACCCATCAGATCAATACTGCAGGTCCTGCTCCATATTGAGCTCGTGTGGCCCAAGGCCTAAGGAGCCAGAATGGGATCTGACCACACCTGCTGACCCGCACCGCAGCAAGTGTTCAGAGCCTTCCCACAACTCCACCCAGAAGAGCACGGACACAACAGGGCCCTCTTCCAACGGAGTGGAGAATGCAGAGACCAGCAGAGAGGGCAGGACTCAGGATGGGAGTGTTTGTCTTTGGCATGCAGGGACCCCTCCTACGAGCTGTTTCTCTTCTTTCTGACAAGTTTCTATGGATTGGTTCATTAATTTTACTGGTTTGGGAAGATCCCTGGAGCCAAGGAGGTCTACCAGAACATGCACTGCTCTGGGCCCCGAACCAGAAGGACACAAAGAGTCCTTGAGGCTACCACATAGGTGCTGTCCTGCTTGACATCACAGGGTAAGATGGCACCCAGGTTACACTAAGTTAAGCCACAGCCCACCAGGCTTTCCTAAAGGAGCAACTGTAAAATGTCCTACATGACCAATGTTTGAATTCTACAGGCTCTAAAAGATAGTGACTGATTGTTCTCATAAGCCTTCATTTTCCATCCAATTTCTGCTCCAATAATAGCTCTAAAACTAAGAGGGCACTCAGCCAGGGCTCTCCACCCAAATCACTTTACTGATGTCACCAGCTCCAAGCAGGCAACTACCTACAGGGGCCAAAAGTGCAAAGGAACAGGTGTGATCAAGATACCACCATAATCCATGCAGCCTTCAGAAGCTGCGAGATACCTTTCCACTACAGACTAGCCCCAAACCCAGCCAGTCTCCCTGCTCCTGCTGCCCTCACCAGAGCACGTGTGACCTGGGCACTGGCTGACTCCAAAAACATACTGCTCTCTGCGCTTGCATCTTTGGTACTTACCTGACTGCTCTAGAAGATTCTCTGAAATCTGTCCAAGCCTCTAGGTTTTCTGTCTGAAAGCAGCCCAAACGAGGCTCTCCCTGAATATTTAGGAGGGCACCTCCTCGGTCCTACCTTCATTCTTCTCACAGACTGTCCCTCCCACACCTCTAATCCTTCTGGCCTGCCTGGCCCACACCACTCCTCCTTCCAGCACCATCCCTTCCGCTCTCCCTGCTGCACTTCCTCTGCTACCCCACTGCTGCCCTGCCTCTCACTGGCTGTGTGTGTGTCTCTACAGTGCCACTGTGCCTCTCATTCGTGTCCTCGGCCTAGAATCCAGGTACCTGGGACGTGCTCAGTAATTGCTGAATAAATTGTAATTTTTTTTTAAGTCAAGAGGATACCTAAGCCTAAAAACACTGATCTACTGGTGTAAGTCCTTCCAGAGACCGCAGCTTCAGCATTTATTTATGAATCCACAGCACCTATCATTCTCCAATGAGAGAAAAACACAAAGTCGGGCAACAAGTATCCGAGTCCCTGCCCAGGTGCTCCCAACATGGGAAATGCCACAAGACAATAAGCAGGCAGTACAGTCAAAGCCCATGCTCACAGGGATGCCTGCTGATGGGCAGAGAAACCAGATACTTCAACAGAAAACATGCAGGATCCCCCAAAAGAAAATTCCCTCTCCTTCAGCTCCCTCCCCTAGCCAGTCTTTTACCAGAGTAGAAAATAATTGGCAAAAATGGCTGGCTTAAGTTTTGGCAAATTGTTCTCAATGAAGAAAGGCGGCACCCCTGACCTCAAAGTATCTACTTCCTGAGACTGGAGGCAGAATGGCAAGTAATGTGGAAAGGAGTGGAGGGAAATCTGGGTGTAGCAGTCACCTGTGAGGTCCAAGCACCCTGCCCTAAGGCAGCAGAAACCTGCCTGAGTAAGAGAGAAGGCACCTTACTTGAAAGGGTAAAATATAAAGAGCCAAGGTACTAAGAAAAAAGTGTGAAAACATCACCTATAAGAAACTTACATAAAAACTGCATCCTTCTCCACAACTAAGGCAGGTGTGGTAAAGTGGAAACCATATGTTTTATGCACAATGTACTTATACAGTAAGTCGAGGTTCTTCTCTTCCTTCACTGATGTGTAAATCAAGGCAGCTCCATCTAATCAATCTGCTTAAGGAAAACCAATTCACTGCAGGAGACGAAAGCAAACAGATACAAGCACAATCTTCACAGTACTACTCATAGGTTGATCAGTTTTTGATTAATACATGATCAACAGAAAAGTGTTAAAATTTTAAAAACTAAAAGGATAACAGTAGCAGACAAACCAGGTCAAAAGCATAAAGCATGTTGATGCTAGCAGGCTGCACAGGTCGTATTTTAACACGCAGACTTGTCTTCTGACCCACCTGATTGCTTCCCAGCAGTCAAGCTAATGGCTCTGAGGCTAGCCCAGAAAAAAACCTGCAGCATATCCAAGGTACACAGATTCCATCCCAGGCAGACACTCACATGTGATAAACTTTGTCATTAAGCACACCTTTTGTAAGAGGGGTACCTATATGTAACGTCCATTGAGTTGGACAAGCTAAAGGGGGCCAAAGGAAGCGATGAAAAGATCCTTTACTTCCCCCACCCAGAGTGTGGGACTATGGCACCAACTGCCATTAGATTTTACAGATATAAGATTCAAAGAACAAACTACTGACACAGCATCTTTCTCATGGCACAAAATACTTGTGTACCTAAAACAATATTGTGTTGGATAATTAACCTTTTCTGGGGGGGAAAAAAGCAAAGTTTTAAAAGATTTCTAAGATATGAAACTAACTTGGTAATAAAATTGTCACATATCAGCCTTCTTCTTAAATAGAAATGTACAGCATTTCTTAAATGATCTTAAATGTACAGCATTAGCCCTGGCTGGTGAAGCTCAGTGGACTGCCCATGGGCCTGTGAAACAAAGGGTTGCCAGTTCGATTCCCAGTCAGGGCTCATGCCTGGGTTGCAGGCCAGGTCCCCAGTAGGGGACACATGAGAGGCAACCACACACTGATGTGTGAATCCACAGCACCTATCTCCTTCCCTTCCCCTTTCTCTAAAAATAGATAAAGTATTTAAAAATGTATAGCATTAAAAATAAAAGTAATCAAATATAGGCACAAATTAAAAAGTCTCAAATTCCAACATAGTAAAATACAAAACTAGTAAAAAAAAAATGTATACAGTATCTCCCTGGCAGAAGACTATTCTGGATTCAGGAAGTACCATATCTCTTTGAAGGTGCTCCATTTGGAGGGAAGCCTGGATTAACACACAGAGAAGGAAGCCTGGGCCTCCCAGGCCCAAAACAGCACCCCAAGGATACACTGGAGGCAGAACCTCCGGAGATGTGACTGGATGAAGTCAAAATGCTCATCCCTGTAATCATGCTCTTTCTCCAGGACACTCACAGCATCACACTGCAGGGAAGACAAAGAGACAGGAGTTATCTTTCTGCGCCTCTGCCTGCTGCAGATGAGAACAGCTTCTTCCTCAGGACTGGAGTATCATAGTTCCAAAGAAGAAAGCCATAGGCAAAAGTCCAAGCACTGATTAAATAGACAAGAGTGAAAAGCAAATAGACATTTTGCTCTTTCATCCTGGGACCCAGTTTCCCTATATGTAAAGTGGGAATATAAGAGCCCTGATCACCTCACATTTGTTTTAAGAATCAAACCAGGTTACACCAGGAAACAGGCCCCTGGACCCAGCTGCATACTGCACACTCCACGGGGCTCCATTCTCATAGAACATGATGCAAATGACACCCCCTGTAGTTGGCAACACAGTGGCTCTGACTGGGAATAGAGCAGTTTTGAAACCCTAATTGTTTTTAAAGCCACTTCTTTTTATTTTGCGAAAGACACAACTTTGTTTCTCTATGGCTAAACTTAATTTCTATTCCCACTTCATCATTCTACAGGACAAACGAATCTCAAATCTCAAGTTCCCTTCCTTTTTTTCCTGGGTTTGTTCCTTTCCAAAAATCATCTCAAGTCCAACAGATTTTAGAGACCAAAGCCCAAAAGAATTCTGCTTTTCCATATTATTTTTTCATCATTAGTTTCGGTCAGATGAACTGGTTTCCACAGCCTTACAAAAATTGTTTTTAGTTCCGAGTCTGAATCAATGGAGTTGACAGTGCTTCCTGGAGATTAACAGAGGCTATGAACAAACTGAGTGATGTCATATTTCAAGCAGCAATGTTGAAATGACAGCATTTTCTATGCTGACATGTTCAATGTACCTTCATGAATCCTGAATTAGCCCAACTCGCCCTTGGGAAGACACCTAATTAAAGCTTCCCAAACATTTTCTCGGCTGGTGACTGTTCCCTGGCCAGACCCAGCCAGGCCGCAGCTCCCTGGCACACACCTTTGTGCACACCACCAGCACAGGGATGCCCAGGTTGTGGGTCAGCACGCTGTCTCCGAGAGGCAGGGCAACGTGTTCTTCGTCAGGACCCGAGGTCAGAGGCCCTCTTCTCTGTGGGGAACCTTGATAACCTTCTTCAGGTTCAATATAGTCTTGAAAATCTTTCACAACTACCAGTGAAAAAGGAAAAGAAAATTATACACACAAAAAAAATATATGCCATGGTTCGAGCCCACCCAGGGACGTCCCCCCCCAAAAAAAAACCCCAAAAAACAAACAAACAAACAGCTTTAGAAAACTGAAAAAGATAGGAACAAGCACAAATCACAAAGAACTATGACAAACTCCCTGACTGCATCCTACTGCAACATTAGGAATTCAGGGAAGATGAAGCAAAATGCCAATTCTGACATATTCAGTGTGAGCATTATTATTTCAGAGTGGCAAAAACATTCCCCTGGACATCTTCAATTGTATCCAATTCTTAAACAGCTTTTTAAAAACGTCCAAGGCTTCAACAGTTCCTATGAAAAGCCACTTATCCTGTATATCATTCTTTTCAAAATACCAACTGTGTCACTTCAATACAGAAAAGCGCTAGAAATAGCTGATACATCTAAAACTCTTCAGAGTTCTCATTAGAAATAATAAAACCATCTGAATTCCACAAACCAGCTGAATTCCTCAGCGGAGCGAGTCCCCGCTGAGAAGCTAGGCTGGCCTTGCCCAGCATCGTCCACATCTCCTCCTCAGCCTGGCTCCTGTGGACTCAGTCTCATCTTTAGGAGATCCTGAGTCACGTGGGCAGTGTTCAAGGACCTGTTCCTGTCTAACAGGAGGCGTCAGTGTAGGAAACTCACACAGTCACTACTTTGGCCAAGCGTGCAATTTCACAGGAGGTCCTTCAAACTGAGTGGTCCATGGCCTCAATTAAGTCAAGTGAACACAAAGCCCACAGACCTGTGCCTTTTCACAGGTGTTTCAAGGCTTACATGTCAGGCCAGAGAACAAGCCCATGACAGGTAAAGCTCCTCTAAGCCATAGGAGCAAACAGGCAGCTTTTTCCTTCAATGCCCAATAGGACTAAAGGGGCAAAAGCCCTGTTACTCTCATCCACAACGTGTTCATTAAGAAAATGCAAAAAGCTGGAATAAAGGGAACCTAGAGAAAGATACACATACTCCTCTCCACCCCACCCCCTACAGGTTACAAACATTTTAAAACAATTGAGTTTTAATTTACCAAGATTCTAGGTTACCATTATATAAGCTTCTGGAATTATCTGGGAGCACACTATCTTTCACATAATAATACTGGGCACACAAAAACACCGACTAAACCCAGTAACATTTCATATCTACAACTTCTCCTTAGTTAATATAGTTTCATTGTTAATATAAACAATAAACAATCTATTCAAGATCTATACTGCATTTTGTACAAAAACAGGATTTCCTAACTATTTAGCATGGTTGTTAAAGGATCATGAAGGAATCAAAGGTTCTCATATTTCTCTTTAAAAGCATTTGAACAAATCTTCAAATCAATGAAAAATACCATGGTTTTAACTATCTGGGTAGTACCTGTAACTGTCCAAGAATGCACGAAGCACCCAACTAGGGCTTTTCCAAGACGGTGAGCATGGCAGAGCCTGGAAAAGGTGAGCTAAGGGACAGTGCGAAGGAAGACACAGGCAGGGCGGCTCTGGCTGTCTGCTCTGTGAACCTCTGTTACCCAGGCTGTGGCACAAACCTGGCTGCATTCTATGTATTCCGTGATGGGAAAATGGTTGGGAAGCCCTGGGCTAGACTACTCGTTCTCTGAAGGAATGGCTTAATTATGGCTGTCCAACAGCAGCAGGAAATGCACATCTGTTCTTAATAACAGCATTTTAGAAAAAATAGGTTGGAAGGCAGAACAAATATTCGTAACAGAGGATGGTGAAAGGGAGAATAAAAACATAGTGAGGATTGTGTAATCTGGATGGTAAAGGTGCCTCTTCCTTAGGGTACCCACACACCACAGTATTAACCATTTCTCTCTAGGGGGAGAGATGGCCAGCATTTCACAGAAGGGGCCTTGACCCACCTGAGGCTTCCCTTTAGCATCAGATGGGGGAGTGGATACAGGAAGGAGATCCCAGTGTGCTCTACTCTAGCTGCTGCCCCCTCTTTCTTACCTTTTCCTTCCTACCTCACCTAACTGATCGCCCTTTGGTCCCACAGTCCTACCACAAACATCTAATCTTCCTCAACTTGATACACAAGGGAAGCCCCAGGCAAAAAGCAGAAAAGACATACACATAAGCACCATCTTCTGGAGGCTCGGAGGGTCACTCCGCCCTCCTCCTCACCCAGATGGATCCTGTAGCCAAACAGCTGCCACAGACTCAGAAGCAGTGGGGAACCTAATCCTGAAAGAGAGCAGCCAGCCATGGAACAGCTTTCCAAACTCAGCGGACTGGAGACTGGGTGACAGCCCTTCACTCCTTCAATACAATACCCAAAGTCCCATTAGTCAGGAAAACGGGAGTCCTCTGAGCAAAAGGACGGCCAACTGCTTTATTAAAATGTAACCTAAACCCAGCAGTAACGAAGGCACTCCTCCAACACGCGACATCTGAGGAGGGGTGGTGAAAACAAGGGAGGTCCTCAGAAGGCTGACCAGAGTCATGAGGCACGGACAGGTTCCAGCAAGTGCTAGTCGCCTCTCCTTCCACATAACTGACATGAACCCTGACACTGAGAACACATGGCCACAGAGAACACATTTCCCCGCCTTCTTAGAAAGACAGCCGGCACCCACCCTTCGGCCCTTCTTTCCTCTTCCTCTGCCCTGCTGTCTGGAACAAGGATGTGAAGGCGAGAGCTCCAGTTGTCAAGAGGAAGAGAACCACACCCTAGACATGACAAAGCAGGAAGCCAGGGTCCTTGGCCTGGCCTCCCAGAGCTGCTTTCCAGGCCCGAACTGCCTGCCTCTCGATTTCATTCACAGGAGAGAGAAATAACCTGCAGGCTTGTTTAAGCCACTGTTATTTGGGGTTTTGTGTCACATGCAGCTGAATCTAATCCTAAGTGACAGGCATCAACGACTAAGACCACAAAATAAATTCAGTGTGTCATGGGAACACAAGCTCCCAAGGAGCAGGCACCTCGTCCGCTACACGCATGCCCAACGCCTAGCACAGACCAGAACAAGACAGACTTTCCCTGTTAGGAAGGAACAATATCCTTGGCTCAATCTCTTTTTTTTTCTGCTTTAACAATCTTTACAAGGTTATAACTCAACACTGAAATCACCAGTGCATTAACCCACTAATCTAGCTATGGTGCTAAATGTGCTCTCCAGCCTCAGAACTATTCTGAGAAGTTGTCTTCAGGACCCCTATTTCAGGGGGGGAAGAGGCATTATCTAGAAAGGTCAGCTGCTGAAGAGAGCCAAGCTGAGCTGCATAACAATCACTGCAGCTCACATGGGGGTGACCTGGGAAACACACACACACACACACACACACACACAACGCACACGCACACAGCAAACCAGAGATCCGATGTAAAGCTCCCAGTTTATGCTAATGTGGGAAGTAATAAAGTTATGACAGGAAGACACATGGCAAGAAATTTCTTTGAAAAGCACATCAAAATTTCCGAACCCTTCTCCCAGTAACTGTGAAGATCCCATGTGCCATGCCCCAGAAGCTCTCATTAATTCATTAAAGAGAATGATGTCATCCTGTGGAAATAAGCCAAGCAAAGCCTGCCCTGGCCAAGACTGCTGCCGCCGCCGCCACTGCCACCACATCTCCAGCCCCTGCCCCTCCCATTTCCCTGGCAAGTGGACAGAAGCTGATGTAACTGTACAGAAGCAAGGGAAAAGAAAAACAAGCTTCTGAACCACATTAAGGTAAAAAAAAAACACAAAACTTCCTTTAATTCGAAAGTTCTTTGTTCTCAAAAGACCTCAGTATCCTTAAGTCTTAAAATAGCCTTTCATTTTAATGACAAAATAATGACTTTCCTATTTAAATGAACTAAAATCTTATTTGCTGGATCCCAAAATAAACTGAGTGAGGAGCTGAAAGATTTGTCTTTTGTGGGGCTTCCTTTAAACCTGCCAATAAGAGGGCCCATAGGGCCTCAGTGGGATCCCAAACAACAGACTCAAGCTGCAGAGATCACAAGAAGTCTCCATAGCCACTGATGCTAACTCAGCAGGCAGAGAGTGACAGAGAAGCAGAAAGACACACAGAACTGAGCACATTTGGGGAGAAACCCTTAGTTTAAAAGGGAATCAAGAGTAAAAAATACTGACTCGTTAATATTCTGCAACTGTGACATGATTCAAAAGCTGCTTTGAATACTTACAATACTTTTTGACTACTGAATTTATAGGAGTAACTTTGAAATAAATGGTGAAAACAAAGAAACACATTCTGCAAGGGAAGTTTTGCAGCCTCTTGACACTGTGAAAAGCAAGGTGTTGGAACCATCCAAAGAGACTACTGAATTTTCCCACTAAGAAAATCTTATTTTACTTACACTTCCGTTCCAGCTCCCTCATTTCTTCTGGTGGAATCTTCATTTTATCAATGTGCTCACGTAAAACACTAGCCCATTTCTGTAGAGATTCCATCACAGTCCAAGGCCTAGACATGTCTGCAACAAAAATAACCAAGGTCTCCGGCAAGGATTCAGCAGAAACTGCAAACTTCAGCAGGCCTTTGTGGTACAGGTCTCCATCCAGAATCCACACGTTACAGCGTGTGTGATCTGAGAAAAGAAGTTGAAGCGAAGTTACTACCTGAAAAGGACCACCAGCACAGCTGAAAGAGCCACATCAGAAAATACTTGAAGGTTACAGCCAAAAAACTCCACACAGAACACAAACAGAAATCTTAACCAGAAAAGGGCACACATGCTCAGTAGACACAAACCCTTGGTCAACGTACCCGGTGAACTGTAAACTTTAAACTTTTCTTTTTTTGATTTTACTTATTTATTTTTAAAGAGAGGGGAATAGAGGGAGAAAGAAAAGGAGAGAAACATCAATCAGCTGCCTCTCACACGGGGAGCTTGGCCTGCAACCCAGGCACATGCCCTGACCAGGAATCAAACCAGCGACCTTTTTTGGGTCTATAGGCGGGCACTCAATCCACTGAGCCACAACAGCCTGGCTAAACTTTAAACTCTTTTAACTAACGTAACATATTATGTCCACATACAGATTCCAGCAATGTCTGAGAAGTAAAAAGTGAAGGACACTTCAGCTTTCAATGAGAATTAAAAGACACTAATAAAAGCTACAATGTTCACTGGTCAACTGTTCCACAGCCTAAATAACCCACTCTCCTAAAACACCAGCAATCTGTGAGGCAGCAACGCCAAAGAGCCCGTGGGTCAACAAGCGCTTTTTGTGTCAGTCACACTAGGCAGTACGTTCACATGCTACGAAGAGCACCAAAGAGACAGGACACCTTTGTATTTAAATGCTAAGATAAAATCATTACTTACATAAATTGAGATGTGAATTACTGGATACCTGATGATTTAAGGAATTACAATTATTTTTTATGTGACAACAACATTCTTAAAAATCCTTATCTTTTAGACATACATGTGGAAGTAGTTGCAGATATAATGATATGCCTGAAATGTGCTTCATAATAATCCAATGTGGAGTGAAGGGAGAGGAGGGTGAGAGTTAATAGTTGAAACAAAATTCATCAGGAACTAGTAACTGCTGAAGAAAGATGACAGATACACTGGGGTTCACACTGATCTATATTGTATGTAGTTTTTGTTTTCCATTAATAAAAAGTTAAAACCATTCACACAAATGTGCAAGGGCTGATATTTAATGGAACATGGTTCCAAAATTGTAACTAAATGACCAAACTATAGAAGGTAATTCTCCAAATTAATACATATTTTTTTAATTTTAGTCAGTTAAGGGAAAAAAATTTTTTTATAAAAGTGCTTTGAGAAAGAACTCCTACCATCAAAAAATGTCAATAAACTTATTTCCCAATAAATATCATCATACACTTAAAATGTATCTGCTGTTAGCTACTTTTTTTGCATAATCAATATACTGTAAAAAATTAATTTTCATAACTTTGTTTCAACAGTATAAGGTATCTATATCTAGCTATACTTTCAAAGCTCTAATACATTTTTTAAATTTTATTTTTCAATTACAGTTTACATTCAATATAATTCTGTACCAGTTTCAGGTGTATCAAAACTCTAATACAGTTTAGATAGTGGTTTTGTGAATCCTTCAAAAATACTGCTCTGTACCTAAAGCCCACAGATTTTAACATCTGCCCCTTACCAAGCACAGCTCCTTTTTCAGCTTCTTTCCCCACCGCCCATTACATGCAAGATCACACACACAACACATGGCAAAATTGAATGCCCCCAACCCTGGAGGCAGTGGTCCTTTGACATGTCATGCCCCATGCTAAACTGGGAACAAGCTGAAGCCTATTTTCTCTACTTGGGTGACTGCCTGCAGAATGTGTATTTATTAAAAAAAAAAAACAACTGCAGCTGAAAGAGGAACAGTTAACCACAGGTTCAAAGAGGAACCTGCAAATAGGTAGCCCAGAAAAATCCCAGACCATGCAATCCCATAAATGCACAGACCATGAAGTTTTTAAGGAAACATTAGAGAATCTGAAATAAAAGTTAACATGTACTTCAACCCAAAGGCACATGAATATGGTTAATATGATGTTTTGGCAAGGAATATGCCTATGCCATCTGGAAACAAGAGGCTACAGAGTTGCAGATTACCTGCAGCACATTCTTCAAAAGGGTACTCCGGCTACCGCTCTGTCCTAAGCACTCAGCTACATGTGACACATGCTACCTCTCCTTTTGTCAACCTACAAAACACCCAGCATTATCCAGCTCTAAAAACAAGGAAACTGAGTGCACAGTGCATCAGTCACAATGAGCGACCACAGGAGTGGGATTCCGAACAGGTTCTGCGTGGCTCCAAAGCCCAAGTTCTTTTCACAGTAACCATGCTGCTCCACAAAGACAGGAAGAGAAAGACTGGGACATATGGGACCGTCTTCACCTGGCTCAGTGGCCCAGCCCTACCCACACAGACTCCAGTTCACCTAGATGGGCACCTGAGGGACTCTGTCCTTTGTATACAGGACGAACCCTCACCACCAGGTCTACCTCCTGCCTTTCCTTCACATCCTTCTGGGAACTGTCAGCATGGCAAAGGAAGCAGAGGAGGGGGAGCAAGAATAAAGTCCCTGGAGTTCTAAGGTGACCACTAAGTTACCATTAACACAGTGCAGGTCTTCAGGCTTTAACACGAGATCCTTATACCCCTGCCCTCTTAATAATGACTCTTGGAGATGGAAGAACTATCAAGATGGAAAAGACCTGGGTCCAGCTTCTTCGTTTTAGCAATGAGATAGGGGACCAGAGGTAGTGGGATATAATCACCTGTATGTCTCAATCCTAACTGTTTAAATGGGTAAGGAAAATACAAAAAAGTAATTTAACTACATGTCCTCCATATAGGACGTACCTTTCCCACAAATAAAAAGATCTAAATAGCAGTAATTACTTACTTTAGAGCCATTCAAGTTCTAACATAAAACCTAAAATTTTATAAAGGAGGCAAGTGAGTAATGGTAACCAAAAACCATTTCTCCAACCCAGCTCAAAATTATACTTATAAGAAAGAATTGTAAACTTGTATCTAATTCTTATAAGAGTGCTCACCCTGCACTATTAGTCATCCCAACTACCATGTAGATAGAAAACTATTCTATTACACACTCTCAAGACGAGAAATTAAGAGAGAACATTATCATCTCTGAGCCTGTATTCCCTCCACTGGAAGAAACACAGGAAATTAGCGTTTTTACACCATCACAAAGAGACTGAGAAAAGTCTCCTGTGAATACCTGCTGAGCTGTTTACACCCTGAACCACACCAACTGCAGACACTCCACTAGAACCAGGCAGAGTAACAATGGTGCCCAGATCAGCCTGTCGAGTGTTTCTCCCACAGAAAAGTCCCCAGCTTTTAGAAATATCTTTCTTATTACCTTTATGGGCATCTGAAACTTTACCTTCAGTAACTCGTTTTAAGTGGGGGGCTACCCAGAGCAGCAGCTGACAGCTCCAATCCCCATTTTTGCTAACATACTCTAAAGAGGAAAGTGAGTGAAGTCCTACAAAGACATGCCCTTCATCTAGTCCCATGATTTATTCTCTTAGAATGGTGGACCCTGAGAAAGAATATACCTACACAGAAGGACTCCTCTTGGCTAATTGGGCTCAAATGAAAACAAACAAACAACAACAAAACGAAACAGAGCCCAGCAGCCATTTCTATACAGAGGCCTCTCGTGCAAACCACACCTCAAGGAGAAGCCTGCATTAAGTTGTCTGCCTCCTGCACTATGTCTCTGTCATCTGAGTCATCCCTTATAGAGGAGTTTCTGGAATCCTATCTCAACCAATAGGACTGAGACTTTCCCAGTCCAATAGGAGCTATGCAGCTGTAACCCCATCAACACTTTCACTGACCAAACAGGAACCAGGGACAAGGACTTCTTAAGTCTATATAAGTCAGCTCCTCTCTAGCGGGGGACATCCACTTTTCCTTCTCACAGAAGGCAGAAGACTGTATTTCCCCAGCCGAAGATGTGTCACTAGGACAGAACTTAGCTGCCTAGCAGAGGAGAGGCCTCACACTAGGGCCCCCTTACAGCCAAGCACAGTCACACTGCTTCATAACTGAGCTGTGCGCTATTAAGCTGAACCATAACCATGCTGTTTTCACAGCCATGCTACATCACAACTGAGCTGTTTTGCACTAAAGTTTCCTCCCTCACCACACCCCAAACTAGGAATTCCTGTTGGGAATGAATGGACACCAGCCCACTGGCTGACGGAACCAAACAGAATACTGAGAATGCCTGGCCACATTGCAGGAGCTGCAACCGAGGAGTCAGAGACCTGCAGGCAACCTCAACAAGGACCAACGCTTCACTCACCATCTCGGTCCTCGTCGTGAACGCTGAGGTAGAGATACTCCAGGCCTCTTCCTTTTTTGCCATGTTCAGCTCCTTGTAGTTTGGTCATGAGGGTTGTCTTACCAGAACCATCTTCACCTACAAATAACGAATGTAAGAAGACAAAGTGTACTGTGTGCTGTAGGCAAGAATGGGGAGTCTCAACATTCACACAAAGAACAACTTATCTGCAAAGTCTGCTGCTGAGGTGTCTTGCCTGCATTCACAGACAAAGCAAGCTTTGCTGTAAGAGTGGATGGAGTGGGGAGGGGTGATAAAGGCAGCAAATTCCAAGATCTAAAATGACATTCTTCTGCATCAACAGAAGGACTAAGACAGGTCTACACGCCCTACCTACAACTCACAAGACAGGCATTTGGAGAAGTAAAAGGTGGAACTAGTTTCTCACAAAATAAACTTTTACCACAAGAAAAGCAAAAAATCTTCAATATGTAATTAACCTTAAAACCCAAGAACTCTGAACTAAAAAAAGTCTGACCCAGCCTCATAAACATGAAGAATGGAAGCTATCATTCACTTTTGATTTTAGTCCATCTCTTTCCTATGCATTTCAAAACTAATGAAAATAATTACAGACCTAAGCAAAACTCTGAAGTATAATGTAAGTAATTATCAAGCACTTCTTCATCCCCAACCAACCAACAACCACACCTCTCCACATAAGAAACCTTAAACATCAAGATAACCCACCACCAAGGAACATCACTAGACCTCCCTGGGATTCAGTAACATAAACTTACAGAAGGAACATGAGAAATGAAAGGTATTCTATAGATCAGAGGTCTCCTTCCTCACCCCAATGCCACCGCCTTACTCAGGCCCTCCACATCCACATCTGGATCAGGATGTACAGTGGTTTACTGTCAGCCTGACTTCAACACCTGCTCATTTTCAGCCACCTGCCACTCTGCGGCCAGAATTCCCTTTCTCCGACACAGATCCAGTACCTTGATTCCCCGCTTCTTGATGATCTCTAAGAGCCCCTACTACCTAGTGTGTTGGCCATTACCTGAAGACCACCTGCTCCACTCCTCATGGTGATTCCCATGCGTATTAGGGGACAGAGGTGTAACAAAAGGCCCCTGAGAATCAGGGGTTTTCAAGAAAAAAATCATCCACTCTTCAGCCTTCCACAATCTCTCTGCCCCAAGAAACTTCTGGCAGCTTCCAAACCCCCACACTCTTTTGTTACCTGTGCATTTCTGCAAGCACTAACCCCCTATGCCCCTGCGTGTTGACACTTATCCTCCAAATACCTGACCCCAAAATTGCCCTCTTTCAAAACAGCACCAAGCAGTGTGATATTCCCACAATAATCTGCCCATGCCTAACTGGTATAATACAATGACCAACACATCTATCTCTTCCTCCCTATATGTAGATTCTTGTGTAGAGGCTGACGGGTGTCTGTGCTGTCGGGGCGCCTAGCCTACAGGTCCCACTCAACAAATGGGTTTGCTGTAAGAAGGGACCATCAAACTCCCGCACTTGCGTGAGGAAACTGAAACCAGAGATGTTAAGGAACCTGACCCAGGTAACTCGGCAACGATGGCTAGAATAAGGCAGTCAGGTCCCTTGGTAAAGGCTCCAAGGCCGCCTGTCCCTTTGCAGAGTTCCTACCGCTGCTCAGGAAGACGCAGGAGTGGTTGCTACGCCAGCTCCCCACAGCCCCGACCCCAAGTCAACTGGTTCCGCTGCTTCCTCACCTGTCTCCGGTACCCGCTCCCCTCTCCACGCCCACATTCGTTAGCCTTCGAGGTTGTGAGCACAGGGAGTCAGGAACATTTAAAGCAAGTCTAAAGCTGCAGCCAAATGACTAAGGAATGCACCAACGACCCCATGCCAGCATCACTGGGCTCTCCGAAAGGGCAACACCCCAACCTCAGACATAGTGGACCTGGCCCCTGTCCGGCTGTCCAACCCGGGTTTTCGGGCCATCGGGAGAGGCCAGCTGAGGGCAGGCAGCAGGGGAGAGAAGGCTGGGACCTGTGCGCCGGACGCCCGCCTTGCCCGCCTCGCCCACCCCTGCTCCCCGGGCAACGCCCCGCCGCCGGCGCTCACCGAAGACCAAAATGTTCTTGCCGGAAGGCAGCTTGGACCTGGCGCGGGTGGACACCTCGCTCAGGATCGAGGACCTGTGGGGACAACGGCAAAGCGGTCAGCCCCGAAGCCAGCCTGGACTCGACCAGCCCGGGATGACCCGTTGGTGTGTCCAGCCTGGCCCAACCCGGCCAGCTCCCCGCCCGAACGCGGCCTCCCCGGCCCGGCCGACACAGCCTGGCCGCCTTGCAATCTCACCATAGGCTCTGGCCTTCCTCCTCCTCACTGGTCAGGTCACCGGCGGCTGCTACCGCGGGGCCGTTGGGGCCCAGAAGCACCTTCTCCACCCCCACCGGCGCCATCTTGCCAACTGCAGCCACAAAGAGGACCCTCCCCCGGGCCCCCGGAGGACCCGCGAGGACCCTGACCGGGACGCCCGCTGCCCGCTGTCCCACACGTGCGCCTCACACAGCCCACCCTGCAGGGTGAGCGTTGCTGGCCTCAAGCCTCCCGGAACACGGTGTCTGCAGGTTCTCACAAAGTCGTGAGGCGGCCTCGCTGGTCAGAGGCGCGTGGCGGTCAGGCGGCAGCCGAGGCAGCCCAGCACAGGGAGGCGGTGGCGGAGCCGATGACACGGGCGCGCTGGCGGCCTCTGCCGGCCGAGGGGTGCAGCGGCACCCCGCCCCGGCGCCTCCCGCTGCAGCTGCGGCTGCGCCATCGGGCCGAGGAAGCCAGATGGGCAGACGCGAAAAGCTCAGGTTTTGGAATGAGACTAACACTTGGAGATATTCATCTAACTCTTACCTGTGCCAGAGTCACGTTATCTCCCTGAATCGTGTCCAACCTGTTTACAGATGAGGAATATGAAGCTCAAAAAGCTTAAGAAACCTGCCGAAGGACCCAATGCTAGAAGATAGGGTACTAGTACTTAAAATCTTACTCTCTGATTTTAACCTATTGCATCATGAGTTTTCCATAATCCTCGTCAAGCCCCGTATTATGAGACCTTAAGATAGACTCCTGAATTCTCATAAATACCCCTTCCCCTCCACCTTTTTCACTATTAAGATTGTGAGTTGGTGATAATCTTCAGTGCAGTGACCATAAACTTCAGTTTATTAACAAGTTTTTAACAGTATTTTCAGGAAACCAGCTACTGACACCAGACATAGGTGGCTTTAACTCCCTTTCTTCAGGGGAAAAGGGAAGAGATGTGAGAGAGGAAGAGATAGTGGAGAGAAAGAGGAACGAAGAGGATAATGGAAGAAAAAAAAAAAAGAAACAGTACATTTTGCCAAATCAAGCTTAAATTTAGGTGTGGCCACTACCTGAGGGCTCTTGCTATAAAGTCTGTAGAAACAAGACTTTGTAAAGAAATGCTCACTTTACAAGGCATTTCTAAATATCACAAGAAAGTGAAGTGTGGCAGAAAAGCAGCCACCCACATAGATTTCATAGGAGTAGGACTCTGATCCTGGCTCTGCCAAATGGATTACAGGATCCAACAAATGGACATACCATCTTTTGCCCTGTATAATGCACTCCCATGTATAGTACACACCCATGTTTTTGGCCCAGACTTTCAGAACAAAAGATCTCTCATTTTAATTTTTTGATTCCATTACTTATTTATATTTAGAAACAAAAGCAATTGTTTTCCAGGGCAGAATTTTGCATATGAATATTGTTACTGCTTTCTAGAATTACACTTTTAATGCATAAGCATAAATAAAAGAGTTAAAAACATATAGATATGGAATTAGTACTACTCATGTATAATGCACAACCTTATTTTTCCCTCAAAAATTTAGGCAAAAATATTTGTGCATTATACACAGCAAAATATGGTATCACCTACCAACCTGAATATGTGGTTCAGCGGGAACAATGGCAGTGAATACTCATTGTTATACCTCTGGAAGTCTGGAAAGAGCAGGCAAAATGTTCTAAGTCATAAAAAGGCATCATCTGAATTTGCACAGGACAGAAGATGAAGTTGAAAACTACAGGCCAGTGAACTTCATTAGCCTGAGGTGAAATTATCTAATATGACCAGTTGAAAAAGGAAAAGATAGCACATTTAGTTCCTTTTTTGCAGGAACAACAGGAGGATACTGAATACTGCAGATACAGCAAATGCAGATTTCAACAGGGCATTTCACAAAGATGAGAAAGTGAAAGGTAGGCAGGGCTGAGGCTTGTTAACGACCGGGACCAGAGGACGCCACTGGAGACCTGCTCCAACCTCCCATCCTGGACCAGCCAATCCATGGTGCCATTAGTGTGACTCAGATGAGAAGGCAGCAGAACACCATAGAGGCTGTGGGTGACCTGAATCAGGATCATTATATTAACTATAATTTGAAAATTGGTCATATAGATGGCCAAGAAGCATCACAGGTAAGGTCCATAATACCTCATTTGGCCTAGCAAAGAGGCTGATGCCCTAGTCTTCCAGTCAAGACACATTTCTTTCTAGACACAGTTTTTACACAAAGAGGAGTCCAAAAGTGACTAAGTTCATAAAGAGACATGACAGTGTTCTATGGAAGCATGAAGTAGCTGGGGCTCATCAACATACAGAATTAAAGGATGTAGATGGGGAAGTAATAAACACCTTCAACTCTCCCAAGGGCCGGCATGTGGAAAAGGGATTCAGCTTTTGTGGTTTCAGAAGATGCTGCAGGGAGGCATGTTTCATTTTAGCCTAAGGGAGAACCAGCCATCAATTCTTACCCTGTGAGGTAGTGAATCACAGGTTCCTGAGGATATATACAAAATTAAAGACAGCCATCAATGCCCAGATTGTCATAGAGAAATTCATGCCTCTGGCAGAGAACATGAATTTAAGGCCAGTTCCAACTCCAAGGATCTGTCATAATTAAAATCATTTTCCATTCCCTGTTAATTTGGCCAGGTCTAAATTCCTACAGCTATACAGTCTTCTAGTATGTTATCATTTTTGGCTCTCCTTTTATTTTCCTCATTTATTTTATTGCCAAATATCTCTATTTGAGGGAGGGAAAAGCAGCTTATGCTAATCAAAAGTTAGCCAAGGGTTAGGATAAAGTTAAAAAAGTTTTCAGAAGGTAGTAGTTTATTTTAAATATAGTATCAGTGACAAACCGAAAGCAGTGTCTAAGTTACAGTATGTCATACTCTTGGGAATGCTTCTATAAGCAGTATTTAATGATTCTGTTACATGCATAATTTATAAAGAACTGTTACCTATGACTCACTTAAAATAGAAAAATATTAAATCTGAACAATGGTAAGAGACTTCTTATTATCTAAGCCAGTGAGACTGAGGCAGCAAAATGTTTTCCCCTTTGACCTAAAACAACTTTCATAAATTTTGAGAAGTACAAATCAAAATAACCCAGCAAGACTATTTAAATTAGCCTCACAGTGCTTAGGAAAGAGATAGACAATGGAGTAGATTCATCCATACTTTAAATTAAATGCTGCAAGGGATTTTACTAATTGTAAAAAAAAAATTTTTTTTTGCCTAAAGGAAATTTTAGATTTAAATAGAAAAATTTGTTGGCCCTCTGGAATTTTCAATGTGCATCAAAAAATAAGAAATTTAATAAAAACTATGCTTCATCTAAGTAGAAATAGTCATCATCTGAAAAGGTCAAAGAAATCATGCTGCTAGGGAAATACCATCTGGGACTAAAGACCAGTTGCAGTGACATGAAGCAGCGCGTCAGCGGGTACCTAAGCACAGCGGAGTTTTCGGGCTGATACTTGATAGCTTTGCCACAGCACCAACATTTTCAGTATACCAGAAGCTGCAACAGCATCCTTTGGGGATCATGATGGAATACAAAAAAAGAGTAAGAAAAAGAGAAAATTGAGATGTTTGGTTTTCCATTAAAAGAAACTGTCAGGATGGGCCGGGTAGAACAAAATGGCAGCTGAACTACAACCCGGAAAAGACAGCTTAAGTCAAACCAGGGAGCCTAAGCGGCTTTGCCAAAACGGATATCCACATAGCAACCTGAGCCTGAGGAGAACCAGCAATGATATATTTATTGCAGCTTTGTTCAAAGGGGACCAATCCCCAGCTCCCACGAAGAGAGCCAACCAAAATAACCCCCCACACACACACACACACATTCCCTGCTTGGGCACAACTTCTTCCGCCCCACTGCGGATGGGAGAGTCTGGATGTGCAAACCCCAATAAAGCTCTATACTGCCTAACTTTGTGGCTGATTGGCATTTCTTCCTTGGCGGAGCCTAAGAAAACCTTTCAAAAACTAACTTAAATAAAAAATTGTTTTAAGTTTGAAAAGAGCAAAAACAAATGTACACCAAAAAGAAGTGAACCTGACCATATAATTTGGAAGTGTGCAAAGCAACTTCACAATCAGATTTTAGAAAACATTTTAATTAACAAAATGTCAAGCATTGATTTAGGGTGTGGGAACCTCACTTGAACAGCTTGGGAAACTACTCTGTCTTTCTGGGGAGGAGCTTTCACTGGGTAAGAATACTAAAATCCACATGTTTCCCACAGTCTTCACTGCAATATAGTGTCAAATAATGTTTAAAGGCTGATAATTTTTTCTGACCTATGTTATTTAAGCTTAAGGAAAAATAAAAGCATATTCCTAAACAAATGTTTGATCTTATGAAGGAATTTGTCTTATTAATCCACACCTTGAAAATGTATTTGCTTTATAAACTATTTTAATAATTTGATAAGCTATAGCTCATCACATCACAAAAAATATTTAATGAAAACAGCATCCCTATGTCCGCATTCCTTGTATCATGAGCGTTTAGACGAATGTTTTAAATTTTGTATCTTCGAGGCATTATATTTCAAGAGTTCACACTAAAAATTGACAAATCTTCTTCCAATTAAGAAGACACACACTTGGGGAGTTTGGTCAGCTTGTGGTATTTCTGAGCAAGGTCAACAGACTTCCGTCCTTGTTGAAAGGGGAAAGACCACAAAATTAAATTCCAATGATTTCCCATTTTCTTAACACCACTGAAAAGATAACTTATTTCTTCTTCAGTAAAGTTTTTACGAATTTTTCTTTTTTCTGTAATTAATGAGAATTGCAGAATATATTAGTGACTGCTGTGGAAAAAAAAAAGTCTTCTTGAGACCCAAATAAGTGCTTAACTTACTCTAAAGATAAGAACTATATACAGAGAAAACTTCCTGCCTGGGCTACTCATCACCTAGAAATCCATTTCAATTTTTAAAAACTGAGTGTCTTCTATTAAGTTAGATGCTATCAACAATTGTAATTTTATCATATTGTAATAATGCTTGCAACATCTTTCAATCATGAAAATCGGGAGTTTACAAACATTTGACTGTTAATTCTTTTGACATTCTTGTGTGGACAGTTAACAAACAGCTTACCTATATTACAGATACAGTCTTCCCAAAGAGCTCCATAACTTCATAGAATAGAAAAAAATATCAACACTTGTTACTTTAATTATTAGTCTTGATCATTACTTTTAAAGAAGGATGTTTTGAAATTCACTTTAAAAAACAAGTTCACTACCTATATGGATGCTCAGCTTGTTAAAACAAAACAAACCAAAAGGCTGCAAAAGGGGAAA